AATGTGTTATATAATTTAATTCCTTTGATGTCAGCTCTTCTGAGTACTGACTGGTTAAGGTTCTTTAATTTCCGAAGTACACTGTCTGACTCTTTTTTCACTGCACGGGACATAAGTACCTTTGTCCAGGAGTAAGTCCATTGCCATGTGTTTGTAGTTCGTTGAATCCATTATCACTGTTCCTCCGCCTTTGTCAGCTTCTTTTATTATGATGTTCGGATCATTGGCCAAAGAGTTTAAAGAATCTCTCTGTTTGCTGGTTATATTAGAGTGTTTCTTGCTTGCGTTAGGAATTATTGGATAACTGTTTATTATGATCCACAAAATTATCCAAATGTTTGTTTTGTCCCTTTTGGCGCACCAAACACTTTTATTTCTAACATAAAGGGATTCCTCTCCACATTTTCACTGCTCGATCGGAGCAATTCCTGATTTCCCAAAATTTTTCTGCAGGGAATTCAGTTAAGTCTGTCTTTCAAATCATTGCAATTACTAATGATAACATGGGCAAGGTGTAATATAACCAGTCCAGAGAGATTCTTTAATATTTGTAATGATCATCTTCATGTTAAAGGGCTGCCTGGCGGAGCAACAGTGATAATATCTTTATGACGAACTAGAAACACATGGCAATGGACTTACTCCTGGACATAGGTACTTATTTCTGAGTGAAAAAGTCATACATTTTAAAGAACTTAACCATCAGCATCAGAAGACTGAAATCATCTTGATATTACACATTTGGACTGCAAATCGAGCAATTTCTGTAAACAGCTTTCATAAAAGTAAGAGATCATAAGACAATGTAAAATCCTAAAAGCAGCTATGTTGAGATGGAACACCGGGAGATTTGAAACTCCGACCTATAATTGCAGGCCAAGCGTGTGCTACACATAGACTAAGTAATTTCATTGATATTTTATTGAAACCAATCTCATCAAATGTTAAAAGTTTTACTCGTGACACCATGCATTTCCTTTCCTCTTTACCACAAAACGTTAATGAAACAAGCAAACTTGTAACTTTTGATGTAAAAAAATTGTATTCAAATATCCCACATAGCCTAGGAATTAAAGCGTTGGATTATTGGTTAAACCGTTGTGAAGAACACATACCTGAGCGAATTTCAAAATCATTCATTTTGGAAAGCGTTGAATTCATCTTAAAAAACAATATTTTCTTTTTTGACGATAAGTACTATAAACAGATTAAAGGAACAGCCATTGGAACCAAAATGGCGCCGACTTATCTGACGCTTGTCTTAGGATATCTGGAGGAAAAAGTTCAAGCATAAAAATCAGTCAAATTCTTGGAAGGATGTTGCCCATTATTTCATGGAAAATTGGAAAAGATTTCTAGACGACTGCTTCATAATTTGGCCATTTTCTGAGGAGAAACTAAATACATTTTACGAACTATTAAATGGCATGGACGAAAATCTTGTTTTCACTATGGAGACAGATGAAACTAAAACAGCTTTCTTAGACACAATGGTCATCAAATCGGGGCGGAAATTGGACACAGATATCTTCTACAAACCTACAGATACGAAACAATATTTAAACTTCAAATCTTGCCATCCGAGCCACACCAAAAGAAGTCTTCCATATAACCTGGCACGAAGAATATGTACAATAGTTTCAAACCAAGACAGCCGCAATCAAAGACTGAATGAACTTAGGACGTTTTACTATTACAGGAATATCCAAAATCTCTTGTTGAAGACGGAATATATATAGCTTTACAGCTTAATAGAGACGATCTTTTGACAGGAACGATGAAACAAACCAATGAGGAAAAGTAATTGCTTTTGTATCTACTTATAATCCGTTGAACCCAAATGTGTTCCAGAACATAAAAACAAATATGTGCATCTTAGAACAAGATGAAAAACTGAAATCAATGCTGAAATCTAGAAAAATAATAAATAGCAAAAGACAAAATCAGAATCTTAAAAGATACTAACAAAAGCCAAATTTATTTTAAAGAAACAGAATTTATCAAATCCTACTGTGTCTAGATGCAACAGAGGTAACTGTGGAACGTGTCGACATATTGTTGAAGGACACTCTGTAACTTTCACGAGACACGGAGAATTCTATGTAAAACAGAATTTTGACTGCTCTTGCAAAACATAATATATGTCATAACATGCACAGGCTGTAATGAACAGTATATTGGTCAATCAGAAAATTTAAGAGCCCGGGTTCGTGTCCACAAACAACAAATAAAGTGTCCTGAAACCCGATGTATCCCACTGAGTGAACATCTAGATGTCTGTGCGAAAGGAAACGATGTTAAATTTACAATATTTCCTTTTTATCAAGTTCAAAATTCGGACAAAGTAAAACGAATTTTAAAAAGAACACTACTTCATGACAAGTACAAACCAATGTTAAACCATTGCAAGCTGTGACCTTGTCGCTCTAGAATGTTGTCCCTATTATGACGTCACAATATATATGTAATGACGTCATACTGTAACCGCTACAATCACCCTGAAGAGTAAAGAACAGAAACATGTTGGAGAAAAAAGGCATTCTGTTTTTATTTATCTATGTAATATTTATGACTGAACACCTGTACTACTTTGGACATTTTGTGCGTATATATATATATGGGATGAGATGTATTGTCACGTATTTATTGAGTGCTGCCTTAGCAGCAACATCAGCCATTGTGTTACCAGAAATGCCAACATGGCAGGGGTAACCAACAAATGAGAATGTCGTATTGGCCAGTAGCAAGATCATTACGCATAATTTTAGTGTAGAAGTACCATTCAGTTTGACTTCGGTAACATGGGGTTTTGCCAGCTCTGCAACCCATTGAATCTTATACACTTGCTATTCAGCTGACACCAAATTCCTGTGCGTTTTTTATTTTGACGTGTCATGGTTTCTAATGACAATCTGCTTTCCACTTGTCGTGAAACGTTATTTGATGTTGGAAATGTCCTATTTACAAAGCCCAATTATATACAAATTACATTGGATTCAGATTGGAGCGAAAATGTTGACAACCAATCCCTGACTTGACGCGCAGTACAAAGAAGTGGGTCGCGATCGACGGCAGGCTTGTACTCTCTGTCAGAAACCCTGACGTGTTTCTGAACGCTGGGTGTCAAAGTCCACCAACGAAAGAATGACCGAGTAAGAACTATATTTTCGTACGATCGCCAGCCCGGCTGGAAGGGATGATGTAAATCCAACCAGGGGTTCATACAGGTAGCAAAGGGCACTGTAAAGTTGCCCATCGTCCCTGGCATGGTGATCTACCTTCAGTTGTTTTGCGATCTACAGCCTGATTCTATTTTGTGTCGTCTTCCATGGTTAAAGTGTTTTAGATTTAATTACTAGTTTTAAATTCCATATATGCTGATAGTCTAGTTGTTTTACTGTCCTTCGTTGACAGGTGTTTATAATTTACTTTTAATTATTATAAAATCCATGCTTGAGATTTAGTCACTATGTGGCTGAAATATTGCCGATGTGACTTAAAATCTTAACTCACTCCACTCACTCCTCCAAAGCAAACAAACACATCTTGAAACCACCCTGTATTGTAGCGTAATATCTCGGCGGGGTGCACCAGAAATGGTCTTCGGACATTATGCCCATGTAGGAAATCGGAGATACAGAGCCTTAGGCCCGAGCCATTGGGGGCTGAAGTCTCGGTCTTTATGAATGAATGTATGTTTATAAGCATTATGACACAAATTTCAGCTCATTTTGACTTAATTCGACTAACTTTAGAGCGATATTAAAAATCTCGCCCATGTGCCAAATATATGTTGGCCCATGGGCGAGAATGTTAAGTTTGCTCAGAATTCATGTTTTGGAGGGTGTAAATGGATGAATGTATGTATAACCACTTATGAGTATCATGAAACAAAATTCAACTCATTTTGACTTAATTCAGCAAATTTAGAGTGATATTAAAAATCTCGCCCGTATTGCGAACAATATGTTGGCCCTATGGGCGAGAATATTCACTTTTACTCAAAATACATGTTTTTCCAACATTCACACGATCATCTCAACCATACCCATTGCCGGTTAGGCCAAACCATTTCAACTCTTGTTTTTCTTAAAAGTGGCTTTCTGCGGGCTATAACTATCAACACACCCCAATCCGACCATCTGTCATTAATTACCTGTCAGCGTGGCTATCAGTTGTATTGAAAGCTCTCACCTATTGTTTTCTTTACTTAATTGTTTCACTGATAGATATATATTGTTGTCCTCCAAATTCACCATATGTGCGTGACTGTCCTCTCCGACGTCCGCGCCCACCTCTCAACCCTAGCAATCTCGATCCACTTTCTGCTCACTCCAACCACCTATCTTCTCAGAGGTCCGCGCGCCTCTCTATTCCTTCATTATTCCACACAAACTCTACCTCCGAACAACTACTGTCTCCTCCGAGGTCCGCGCGCCTCCAGCCACCACCGACCCCCGCAACCTCTCAAGCACCAGTCCATAACAAACTCCTCGGTCAGTGGCCGCCGTCCAAAGCCCCTCAGTCAAAGACCACTCAGCCAAGCTTACTTCTGCCTCTCAATTACTACACTCTCTCAGCCTGCCCTGCCCCCTCAATGCTCCCATACCACCCCCTCACCCCACCCACCCTAGAAGGACTTATACATGGTCCGTTCATGCGTAGGCGATTTTGCACAAATTTACCCATCATTTAAAAACACAAAGTATCCCTTTCTACTATTATATTATCTAAATTTACTTCAAATGTTTTTGATTGTTTGTTTAACTAGCTTTGAGTTTGACGATACCACACACCTATTAATGAACTCATGAGATTATCAGTTAGTGCTGTTTACTGCAGATGAAAGTGTTATGATGACATTGCGTTTTTCCGATGTCATGTATTTTTGCTTGATTGATTACATTAATTTTTATAAGTTAGGTTCAAATGTAGGTGAATTCTCGCGCCTCTCTATTCCTTCATTATTTCCACACTTAACTCTACTCCAGAACAACTACTGTCTCCTCCGCGGTCCACGCGCCTCTCCAGCCACCACCACTTGGGGCTCCCGCCACCTCTCAAGGACCAGCCATAACAAACTCCACGATCAAGGCCGCCCATAGCCCCTCAGTCAAGGCCACTCCAGCCAAAAGCATACTACTGCCTCTCAGTTACTTCACTCGCTCAGCCTGCCTGCCCCTTCAATGCTCCCCATACCACTCCCTCACCCCCACCCCGTTTAGCCTTTTTTCTTTCTTCATCATTTATTTAATTATAAACGAAGCTTAACTGTTTCCAAAACAAGCTCCCACTATGCTTTGGTTCTCTCCCCACCCCAACCAGCCCCACTTTATATCTATCAGTTTAGTTCTATTTCTTATCTCTTCTCATCCTAATTACATCCAAACTACATTATTTTTTCTTTTCCCTTCATAATCACGGCTTTTTTATTATTATTATGTTTTGTAGCCGTTTTCATTCAAAATTCACTTAAGTTAACACCCCATCATTTACATTTTTGGGGGTATGGTGGTTTATCCTTATTATAAACACATAGTAATTATTACTTTAGCTCCCACCTACCCCGTCGGCGACGTTGGCTACAGCCAGAGGCCGACGTTAAATATAATCATCATCATATGTAGTCAATAGGCGCCCCAAAACATTAGAAGTAATGCCATGGAACAGAGTTATCTAACTACAGTATGACGTGATGATTGTATAGTAGATGATTTGAGGAATACAGAAGCGCTGAAAAGCATCGTTCTTTACCACCAGGGGTGTAACACTTGTGACCCAGTTCAGGATCGAGTGATGACTGAATTATTGTCAAAAATGCCTCTTCACAACAAAATCTGCGAATGATCCAGAGTTCCATCATTTTTATGAGTATGTGATATGGCTTCATAGAACAACACAAGGTACTACACCAAAGGTACTACCTTCTGTTTGAAACTGTATCTGACATACTGCTTCAATGATACATTTTATTCATGAAACAGAACAGAAATCACAGCAAGATAAGCCTCAGTTTACGGTAGCTTATTCATTGAATTTGTTAACGTACAGCATGCGAAATAACTTACAGTGCAATTGGAAATGTGGCTCGTCAAAGGTATGCGTGTAGGCGCAGATAATAAAACATACACGTCGGAACAGTCAAAATTAAGGAAATTGGTGAATATGATATATTACTTTTCATTAGTAATTTTGTAGCATAAACAATTATTGTGAGGCTTTAACTGTATTGAAATATGTCTTGTCAATTCTTTTGACATTAGCCAATAACCACTTCCAAATAAAATAAATGGTCTATGCTGCTTCAGAACGTATAAGATCAATTAGGGCCCCAACTGGGTAATGAAGGAAAGAAGTCACTTCCTGCCCAGGATGCCACACGTCACCACTCAGGAGCTAAGGGCCTTGTCAAACCTTCTCACAACGGAAAAAAGCATCAAAACTGTGTTTTATTCTACCTGACACTCGGTATGTCGTCATTGTATTCATTGTTGAATAAATTCTATCGTGGGCAACCCCACACTTGCGAGGTGTACCTACCAGGTTCGCACGTTTCATTTTAATATTTTGTGATCAATTCACGGCTTTTCTTCGCCAGAGGTTTTAGGAATTACCCCACGTCCCCAAACCCCTATTTAAATGAAAAAATGAAGCAATTCCACATAAAATAAACATGCAAAGTACACACAATATGGCAATGCTAACACTGAGACCATTCTGATTTAATGAGCAGAGTAATATTGGCACTGTTTTGCGGGTTCTGCCACTTTTGCACTCTACCTTTTTACCTGCAGATTCTTGGTGCTTTTTAGTATTTCATTTAATTGTTTCGATTGTTTATTTTGGTGTTTTAACGGCTTGGGCCCTTCTGAGTGAGTCTATTATAATAATTGTACTTTCATTGTGTTTGTTTAACGAGCTGGACATGGAGTGTTGTTATCATGTATGTTATCATATATTAGAGGGATGCATTGATAGTAATGAAAACTTATAAGAAGATATTGTACCTCAACATACAAACATACACCGATAGCGCTCATCGTCACTCTCATGTCAATCCATTGTGACTGTTGCAGTCCTCCTGTACATCCTGTATATATATAAGTAAGTTGGGTATTTTTTATTTATGAATTATTATTGCTAAAGGCACATTTTGCCGAGATGAAGAATGGGGTCTCCAATTGCCTGTTCGCTTTTAAACACCTGCAAATTTATTCCATGTATGTCTTTGCTCTCATAAGTTAAACATCCCATTTGTACGCCAGTTATCAGACAACATTGGATCAATCTGTGATTACAACCTAGTTTACCCACTGACGTAATAGACCTATCCATAGACTAACGACATATTTTCATATTAGTGGTTAGTGGTATATTTTAACACTAATTATGGAGTTTGTTACTTTTCGTGCAGAAATTCTTTTCTAAGAATACTAATGTTTATTGACTTCGGCTTCTCACATTTGTGTTCATAATGTTCACTTTGATCAAATCAGGAGCATGACTTCTCCCACTTTGTGTTCATAATGTTCACTTTGATCAAAACAGGATTATAGATTTCCCATGTAACTAGTTGAGTTACACCCAGTGGTACAGAGTTGGATACGACGGGCTGTTGGGCTTCCTATGCTCCCCTATGAATTACTAACAAGAAACTTGAAACCAAGATCGAGGTAAACAGTTAAAATATAAACTCAATGAAGCTGCAAGTTTGCATAGTCAAACATACTATCGATGCATCGATATTTTTGCATTTCTACAATCGATTAAATGCTTTCGGAATAATTGCAATTCATCGATAGTTTGATGCATCATTACAGCCCTATTAATTATATCGCTTAACATATTCTTATGCACATAACTTTGGATCAATCCATTACCCAATAAAGGTAACAGTGCAGTGAACCTGAGTGCAACCAACCATAACTTTTGTTGATTTAACGTGTCTGACAAATGGGACGTCTAACTGATCGGAGGACACCAGAGAGTAAGTTGCATGCGATATTTTTTAATATTGCCCTTGTGGATTTCCATTATGATTTGCACACATTATGTTTCGCATACAGTGTACATCACTATCTATGTAACTGTATTATTGTTATGGAGCGGCATGGATATGCATGTTTATGCTTGTTTGCCAATCCCGTCATGATAACTTGAAGAAAACATGTTTAAACTATACATTAAAATATCCATAGTATTAATATGTAGTCTTTACATTGGGCAATGAGGAATACAATATATTCAAGATTGAGTTTGCTTTTACCTTTTTATCTTTTTAAAATTGTCAATATACAGGTCCGTGGTTTGTGGTCTCTTGGTATTTTAGAAACTATGTTGAGAGTGATGATCTGTATGCGGTCTTTCTGCATGCATTTTCACGAGATCCATTCTCCTTTTCCTTTTTTCACTATGAACATATAACCATTTACACCAAGGTATCTTCCACCACGAAATGTAGAAAACTTTGAAGTCTAATTGTGCATTTGCCATAACTGCTTAAAATTCACTCACACATTCTGGTACGTGTCTTATTTCGTTTCCTGAGTGAACTGAGTTAACACATTTTACATTTGGTAGAAAGCTAGTGTACTATTCCCTTAAAACAACACCGTCGTCCACAACATCAAACATCAAGGATTGTTACCTCGACCCAAAGGTCCAAACTTACCCAGGGACTACCCAGTAACGGTTTTGGCAGCTGCGCCAGAGCAGGGTGTCCCAGGTTTTGCCAACAGATATTGTTTAAAGGTTTCAGAGTCCACTGAACCATTCTAATCTCTTAAAAAACAGGTTGAGAAGTACATTTTTAGATTACCCTGAGGCTGGTGAACACGCAGTTCACTTGCTTACCACTGCCTTTGAGCTCGTGAACACAGTTCACCTGAATTGACACTAATACAGGTGAGTGATTAAATCAATGATTGATGTGTATGTTTAAACTGAACACATCACTTATCTCGTTGACATATCAATCTGATAAAGGTCACAGCAGAACTACACAGAAATAACATTGATGCGGTTGCGGGATTGGTGGTTGTGTGACACCTAAGAAGAACAAATATCGCCAGCTTGAAGAACGGCTAGACCGCGGGGATAGACTGCTGCTGCAGATGGTATCGATACTCTACTTGCATACAGTGTGTCTCACCTTGTGTGGACTATGAATGATGATGTATGCTTGTGTATAATGTGATATTTTGTAATAATGTATGTTTGTATCCTGATGGTAGTGCTAATATTGCCTAATGGTTGTATTTCATAATACTGTTGATGAGATTGATGATGATGATAATATATATATTTGAAATAAATGAATGAATGAAGTCCACAGCGTCAATTTTATGGGCGGCCAAAATACCTTGGACCATATTACACACGGAACAACCTGCCAGCACGCACATTCATTCATGTGTCCTCTTATCCGAGGTAACCCACTGCTGTCTGCTGGGGTACCTCCTCCAAACGCCGCTTACATTATAATGAGAAGTTGTATATCCATATAACTTTCTCCGTTGTTGAAATTATCATGGTCTCAACATATATTGCATTCCATGCGAGTTCATGAGGAGATTTTAAAGGTTATTGTATTGTGTTGTCATCCACATGTTGATTTAGCTGGTTTCTTCCTCATTTCAAATTTCATCCCATTCTGTTGAGTATTTCAGTGTAGCTCGCAAAGAGACAGAGGCCACGGGGAGCGGAACGATGACGTGTAGGTGTATCTCCGCGTTCAGTTACGTAATTTCCACCAAGCGCCTGCGACAATTTTGCGCCGAAAAGTCGTTGTGTCCCATCCGTTTGGTCATGTTTATTGGAGTTGAACAGCCACGACTTTCAAGGTGTATTTTGCTTTCCATATATACAATCCATTGATCACACTACAGGCTCGTAGAGGGTGTTTTGATTAAAGCCAAATCTCGAATTGATTGTTTTATAAGGTGTCGAAATGGCGTTAAATTCTCTTTTTGTGCATGAACTTATTTGTCATGCAAAGGTGGTCAATATATATGTGTGTGATTGAACAACCCTGTTTACTGAGATAGGAAGAGGAACTTTGACCTTTCTCAAGACGTGCACATTTATGCGTATATGCTCTTGAA